ATCAACTGTATAATAATTCCTTCATTTTTACGTACTTTTTTTTTCTTTCTCTGATGTTCTCGCTCTCTATTTTTACAATTCTATTATATTACACACTTGCACATATAGATACCAAAAATATATAAAATTGAGTTTAACTGACTTTTACTATATACGAAAAACATTGAAAAACTTTTCTTATTAAGTCCAAACATGGACATAATAATATTTTAGGTGATTTAGCAAAATAAAGTGAATTTCATTAATATATTTAAAAAGTTTTGATACTTTTTGGTTATATATATTCTTTTTTTTTTGGTTTTAATATTCTTTCTTTGTTTTTTTTTATAATTTTTATTATTACATTTAGTAAAGACTTGAAGGAAAATTTGAAACTTTTGACCTCAAAATTGTGTAGCATCAACTCTATATGTTAGAAAACTAAATTTTTTTTTTAAATACGTTAGTTGTAGTCATATATTCTATTTAACTTGAATATGAGTTTATTATGCAGAAACTTATATTTTTATATATATATATATATATATATGTAAATACAAGAATCAACTGATGCACATACAAATGAAATGAATATGATTTTTTCTTTTGTTGGTTGGTAGAAATGTTAAAAGAGTTGATCCGAAATACAATATTATAACAGCATTAACTTCACACTTAATATATGTCATTATGTTTTAATATATAGAGATATATTAGTGTGTAATATGTATTATAAAACTTTTTAATAATATTATTGTTATAAAAGTAAAGAGTGTTTTAGAAATTTCCTTTTATTAAAACAAAAAAAGTTCGTGGTAATTTATCATAAAAATTTAGTGAGCTCTGAATTTCTAGTAAAAATTTCGAAAAAAAATGAAGTTTCTAACAGAATTGAATGATTTTAAGGATACAAAAAATTGCATATTTTTGGGTGATTGCGATATGTTTTTTAAAATACGTTTCTTTTGCATTGTAAGCAGGTAATTTTAATTTTGCGATGATTGTCTAATTAAGCTTTAGGATTGTCAGTTTTATGCAAAATTTCAAATATTAGAATAAAATTCGTTTAGTGAAGCTGAAATTTCTATAAATTGATTTTGTTATATACTCGTACACTTAATATTGAAAATATATGGCAAACAAATCGGAAATTAAAAATTTTCATCCCCATGTCGGGCGGCAGTTTTAAAATATTTATTAAGGTTTTGATTCTAAGGTAAATTGTTTTTTTTTCCATAAAAGTGTTTCACGCACGCAGTTAAGTCTAAACAGTATCGTCTTCAATACTGTTAAGTACAAAATCATTTGTACAGGAGAATTTTTTCACTTAACAAAAACAATATTTGCATTTTCTTCTTAATATATTACCCTGTATAATATTCTATATGAACATTGTAAAGTATTAAAAGTTGTATAAATCGTGGTCATCATGTAATATACGTTAACTAATATCTTAGGTTAGGTGCTATTTGTGGAAGAATATAATATTTTAACTATGCTTACTGATATACATATATAAAAATAGATTAATATATTACGATTGTTTGTGTTAGCTTTGCCATTTTTCAAAAAAGCGAATTACAAAATATGTAGTACATATTTGTATATGATAATATTATAGATATGGTTTGTTAATATTAATCAGTAGAGGCACATACTGTTAAAGTGAATATATATATATATATGAATGAAAAGAATAATAAAAATCAAACGAAAAGTTTTGCTCATATAGTTTTTTTAGTTGCTCTTTTAACATATGGAAAATGCCTGATTTAATATTAATGATAACCTATGGAAATTTTTCTGTTATATATGTACATATAAAAATATACAGTTTTATAAAATGCAAAGACTTAAACTTTCATTCAATTGTAAAAATATATATTGTAGGTATATATAATTTTATGTAGGGACTTATAATATGTATATGTAATATGTTGGAAAGGTACTATAAACTTTAATTTATTATGTGAAAAAAAATCAGTTTTAGGATATTTTGATTAAAAGTTTTTCATATGAAAAACTAAAAGAAAATTTTTTACTTTTTTTTTTTACACTAATTTTACTTTGAAATTCTGAAGTTCATGAGCATGAAAATTAATACTATACTGAATTGTGGAGATTGAGTGCACAAAATCTGATTAAGTGTAAAATATAAAATTCATTTTTATTATTTAAAATAAGTAAGAGAAAAAAAAATGAGCATAGGTATCATATATAAAATGAAATTTATTATATTGAAATGAAATATCGGAAGTAAAATTGTGAGATTTCTAAAAGTGCAAAAAATTTTTCTTTAGAATTAATTTTTTAATTAGTTTTTAACAAGTGTTTTCTTATTCTATGCACATTATATATATGATTTGCATTCATGTATGTTAAAATGTACTAAGTTCTGAGATATAATTTTTCAGTAAAAAGATGTGGTGTGGTTAGCACATAACCGAGCGTAAGGTGCATTGTCTAGTTTAGCGAAAATGTTATATAGGATTATGAAAATGCCCTCTAAGTACTTTTTTCAAATTATAAGGAAGTCAGTAAGCTTTTAGTTAAAATACCTAGAAAAGTATAAAATTGGCTCTTAGAAGAATTTCACTTTGTGTTACCCGAGCTTCCTGAAAAATTCACCAATTAGGTTCGGCAACAACCAAAGTTCAAATATTAAATTTCAAGAAATTCCATCAATCCGTTCCGTAGATGTGCTAAAAAATGGAAATTTAGCCATAAGTTTGGTTTCCGTGTCCTGACATTCCCAAAATTTCAAAGCAATTTCATTGTTTAAACATCTTGAATTTATATATTCAATTTAAAGAGAATCATTTGATTATTTCTCTTTATATATGCCAAAAAAATATATATTTGGTCCGTAGTAAAGATCAAGTTGCTGGCACTTGATTTCTTCCAAAAGTTATGTGGTTTCTCGTACTATTAGGTTAAGCTTATATGAAAAATTTTACATATAGATATTTCTATGATAAATATACACTGATTATTTTCTTAGATATAGTCACAAATGTAATATCGGCCCATAGTAAATATCCAGTTCCAGAGACCTGACACATCTAGAAAGTTTTTTAAATCGTTTCATCTTTGATAAACAATCAGTTTTAAATTTTCGTGAAAATCGGTCCAGCATAGAACTTGAGATATCGACCTGTACAGACAAACTGACCTCTCTGAAATACCGACGGACATCTCTCTAAAAATATTTTAATTATGCTACTCTAGCATGGAGAAACACATTTCCACCGAAAACTAAACATATAAAATTTGTTGCCATCAAATAACCTCCCTTATTGTATGCAATGCGGTCGGTAAAAAAAGGAGAAAAGTTATAGAATTTTATAATGGGGTTTTATTTAAACTTTATGAAAATTTAATGGAAATATAATGAAAATTTTCTAAGTAAAATTAAAAAATTAGTGGTTTGTTGAAAGAGTAAGTAATTTTAATTGAAAATTTTTCAAAATTATATATGTAATAATTTAATTAAGAAGTAATATAATAAGGAATGTATTCAATGTTTAAAAAATCAAAAGTTGAAAGTTATTTAAAGTAAATAAAATTTTTTAGCCAAATTTTTTAGTCAATGGTTCTTATTGAACAATGTTCGAGAAAACAATAATATTTTGAATAATATTTCTTATTTACTAAATTTTGCACTATTTGTAGGTTTTACTTTATTAAACAAATAACAAATTATCATTTTTTTTCTAGAATGCATTTTATTTAATACACCTTTATCAGCTATGTTTTAATAATGGTAAATTAAAAAAACAAAATATTGAGTGAAAATACATGAGCAGGCATTAGCACAACCACAATAGCACATTGGAATCCTTAAATCGATAGTGAAATGTTGTGTGAATACAAATTGTGCTTTAGTTAAAGGTAATTATGTTATGAATGGTTTTATTGATTTGTGTATTTTCTTCATGATGTGGAAATTACAGGCCCAGCAAATTATTTATTCCGAAGTTACTTATCGAATAGAATGCATACAGTGTGTCAATCAAAAAAACGACAAGTGCTTATAAACACGGTAGCACAACAGGGATCTCTATTAGGACGATTTTCGTATATGTTATATGCCATGAATCTTACAAAATATAACATAGAATCAAAGTTTCCAATACGGCGGAACAAACCTCATACCAAAAGCAAAGACTTTAAATGAATAAGAAAAAAAATTAAATAAAGATATCACAGTCTACTTTAATGGCCTTTGCATAAATGCTGAAAAACAAAAACTGTGTTATATATGTATGATATTTAAAAACCAAAAAAAAATATCATGAAATGATAATATAAAAGCAGGGAATGATGTAATATAAAAAATTAAATACATTAAATATCTTGGTGTCTGCATTGATGAATATTTAAAATGTTATTAACATGTTAAGCATTTGAAAAAGAGTAACATTTCAATTACTATGGCAATTAAAATAGTAGGTGTTGTTCTTAATAAAGCAGCGAAATTAATATACAACGGCCAAATATTATTAAATTACAATTCTTTACAATCATAAATGCAACTGCAGTTATTGTACGAAATTTCATATTAATCAATTGGGTATTGTTATGACCAGAAGCTTAAAAATAATAATAATTATATAATTTCAATCCGAGATTAGACACTGAGGAATTTCATATAAAAACCAATGAATTAGATGTAAAAATCATCTCGTATAATATTTTGAGAAGTGCAAATATGTTTTCAAAATAACAAACAAAAAAATGAAATCATCGTTATCAATTCTAACAAGAGATACAGCACGTTATTATAATACTAGGCAGAGAGAGCACCTCATATTACCTAGTAAGTACATCTACGAAGTTGACAGGTCTAAAATGCAGTGCACAATAAGGATATTTAACATATTGCCGATTAACATCAAGAATTGTAAAAAAGTAAATGAATTCAAGAACAGGTTACAAAAAATTATAGTAAAAATTTAATTTAAAAGATTAGTTTTTAGTTTAAATTTCTTTTACACAATTCTATATAAATATTTGCTTACCTTTTGAAGGAATTTCAGGTATTGCAGCTACTGTTATTAAAATTATTACGAAAATCCAAGCAATTTTCCTAATCACATCAAACATTATGAATATTTTATTATTATATATTTTTTTTTCAAAATAATAATATTTTTTTTTATTTTATCTATATATTTATTTATTAATGAATTAATTTAGTATGATAATTACATATAATTAAAAATTAAACATGTTATTATTTTTAAATGATAATTTTTCAATTTAATTATATTGTACAATAATATTTTGAATAACATTTCAAATAAGCGAAAAATATTTTTAATATTTTATTAATTTTATAATAAATTTCTCTTTTGAAATTTAAGTTTTATTAAATTTATAATTTTAATTCTAATTTTTAATTTTTTTTGTTCTTCAATTTAAATGCTTTTTTATTTCTCGGAATCTTGAATATTTACCATTATTTTTTTTCGGACTTTATTCCGTTAGAAAAATTTAATTTTTCTCCTATTTGTATTTGTACGTGTTTTTTTTTTTTTTTTGTTAATTTTCAACACATTAGAAAGTCAAACAAGTAAAAATTGAAAAGAAAAACTTTTCTTATTATTTTCTTACTATTTTTTTTTTAGTTCAAATAAATTTTCAAAATCGATCGTAAATCAAAAAAATTTTTTCTACATAATTCGTTATGTCAAAACAATTTCTTTAACATTTTGTTTTTCCTTCATTTTCATTTTCAGTAAGTTAATTTTCACTTATTTTGTTAACCTAAAATAAGAAAATAAGGGAAATAAATTCATTGAAAAGAACCCGTCTTCGGTCTGGTTTTGTTTTTTTCTTTGATTTTGAAAAAAATTGGTGTGGTCTTTTATTGGATGTTCAAAAAAAAAAAAGTGTAAGAAATTGTGTAAAAACAAGAGAAAAAGAAATGTACAATATAAAAAATTTGAAAAAATTGTGCTGCATGAATGAAAAATTACACAGAAATTTACAAACAGTAAATAAAACGAGCGAAAGGTTAGAAAATTCTTTAACTATGTATGTTTGAATGTGTAAAAATTGTATAAAAATATAAGGAAGCAAATTATTGAAATCTTAATATGTATATGTATATAAAAAATTTAAATCCTGCAAAATGTTCATAAAATTGTAATAAATAAATCAAAAGGAAATTCTACATTCGACAGTTCAGGAAATCGTAATAAATTTTCAGAGACTAATTTGTAGAAAAGAAACAAATGTATAGAAAGTAACAGAAACAAATAAAACAGATTTTTTGGGTTAAAAGCAAAATAAAATGTCAAAAAAATGTTATTAGGTTCACAGTATATAAGATGAAGCTAAATGTAGACTCAGACATTTAAGGTGATGGAAAATTGTGCAAAAAAGAAAATAAATTAAATTTTTATGTTAAGCAAAATAAGAACAAAATTTATAAAAATAGAAAAAAAAAATTTATAAAATAAAACATGCATGTTGGTTTCCAAAACCAAATGTTTTTATCATTTAATCCTCGGAATTAAAAATTTAATTTTTTTTTTCAAATATTTTTGATTACGATGAAATTTTCGTAATTCAAGAAAATGAAATAAATTTAAAATTAACAATCCAAATTTGATATACAATTCATAGCCTTTGGTTCCTACAAAATTTTAAATTTTTGAAAAATTTTAAATTTAAAATATAACTGAGTATGTGGGTTTGCAATTATAACATAAATATAAGTTGGTATGATCTAATAAAGGGTATAAAGATTTTTAAAAAAATAGGGACTCGATCATATGATCATTAAAGACCTCGTAACATCAATAAAGATATCATATATGCATACATTTTGTTATTAACCAAATTCTTTTCAAATATTTAAATAGAAATTCAAAAAAAAAAAAATTATAAATTATTTTGCATGAAAATTGCATTCTCGAAATCAAGTCGAAGAACACATGAAAATCATTCAATTATGTGTTCTTCGACTTGATTTCGAGGCTAATTCGGCGTGAAATTTCATTTTAATTTAATAAATTTATTTTGTTTTATTCTAATTATTTTAAGTTTTCTGAAAATTTTAAATATTATTTATAATTATTTATAATTTTTTAACTTTTATTCATAAAATTAATATATTTCTATTGTAAGTACTTATTATAGCAAAACTAATAATAGCATATACAAAGTTAAAAAATTACACACCCATAAGTATGCAATTTTTATAAGAATCAATGCTAATATTTATTCAAATTTTATTCAGTCATAATTAGCTAACTAACTAGGTCTGAGTAAATTTGATTTTTAAAAAAAGGATAAGGAAGGTTTTATTTCATAAACTTGAATAATTAAAATACTTTGTCAATCATTTGCCGTTAAAATTTATTATTTTTGATTTAATCTACGATATGAAAATTAAATAACCGTTTTACATTTTCTCAAGACTACAGTTACTAAGAAACCATAATTATTTTGGTATCTTTTTGGTTATTAATTATTTAATATAGATGTGATACTCGTATTAAAAGTCGCCCAAATAATTTAGGTAGTTCCAAAAAAATTTTCCAATTTAAACTTAACGCATTCTCGAAATTAAAAAACAATTCTAAATATTTTAGAGAATTTTTAAATCTGAATTTTTAATCCTATAACTGTTCCAACATTATGTGCTTGAAATTATGCTTACTACAAGAATTTTTGATTAAATTTACAAAAAATAATCCTCTTTATAAAATAATAATAATTTTGAATATAATTATTATGAAATATATAAAGTTCAATTTAATATGCATAAAAAAAAATATTGAAAGAAATAAGTATATTTAATTACAATTTTAAAAAAACCGCTAATACAACAAAATTATTATTATGTATGCATGTTTTTATAGGATTGAAAAGCTTATCTTAAATAATATGATTTTACAAAATATATATACATACATATTTTTTTAGTAAATAAAATTTGTATACAAAAATTTACTATTATATGTGCATCATTATAATAAAACCAATCTAATATAATATTTATCCTTAAATTTTATTTAAAAAAAAAAAAAACAAAAAACAAAAATTTTGAGCAAATGTTGCATTGTGTGTATACCAAATTATATGGATATGGGATATAATTAAATGGCCTTTTATATTTGAGGTCATTAAATTTTTTGGACAACAAACATGAAATAAAATTATTTTTTATTTTATGTTTTCCTTTTTCCCTATTTTTCTATCGAGTTTCTAAAATATAATAGTATTATATATTGTATACAAATAGTTTATATAGAGAAAACAAAATATTATTTAATCTTATATTCGAGATATTCAAGTTACATATGAAGCAATTTGGGAGGTATGTAATTTGAAAGAGGACAAGAATATTTTCAAATATTTTGTTACAGAATGCAACCGCAAATGAAAACCATAACTAAATTATCATGCGTATAATACTTGTAATATATTTAAACGGTCAATGTTTTTATTATTTTATTTACATATTTTCATTTATAATTCTTTTTTTTATTATAAATAATACACGTACACCTACATGACATAACATGCATGGATGTCCTATTTTTTTTATTTTGAAAAATTTTATTAGAAAATTTTCTATTTGAAAAATTTATTTAATTTTTATTTTTAATACATGTTATTTTTATCATGTATTTTGCACTCTCTTTTAAAATTATTCTGCGATATGGCGATTGACAAACATGTTTAAAAAGGATATTATATATATATATTTATTGTATTTTTGTTTTTGATCCTCTAACGGTATTTTATTTATTATCGAATGGTAAAAATTTTTATTACTAAAAATTTGTTATCGGTTTTTTTTTTGTATTCCGAAATTTTTTTTACTACTATTTATTTTTTATTTTTTAATAAAAATAATTTCGTTACTTTATTGTGGGTACATTTTAAGTCATTTCGAAAAATAATTCAATTTATATTTTTATTAGGTTTTATTATTTTTTTTTTGGTTTACATTTTTATTTGGTTTTTATTGAACTAAATGAGGGATGAGTTCGGTAATTTTTATGCATTTTTATTTTTTATTATATTTTTTTTTTATTATTTTATTATTTTTGTTAATTTATTAAAGTATTAAAACCAAAATGGAAAATTAAATTTTATAACTGGAAAAAATTGATCGAAACGCGATAAAAAGATATCCGAGAACGATTTTAACTTTATGGATACCATCGGCATACTGATATTTTCTACGTACCATGAGGAATGTCGTTTTTTTTTTCGTTTTTATTTTGGTATTTTACTTTTTGTTTTTTTTTTTGTATTTTGTAATCATACACAAAATAGTGCTGCTGTTGAAGTCTTTATTTTTTTCAAAAATATTTATTTTTTTTGTAATTTTTCTCTGTTGCATTGCATACTCAATGTAAAATATTATAAAAGAATTTTGTATACACAAGAAAAAAATAGACTCAATGAGAGAAAAATGATAAGAAAGAAAAAAGGAAAAACAAAACTTAACGAAACTTAACGAAATGAAAATTCTGTTTTATTCTGATTAATTTAACGTTACACTACAATAACAGTAAATTTTCATTCTCAGAGTAAACTGTTAAATTTTATATTATATTTAAAATAGAAAAACACTCATGTTATGGAACAAAAGAAAAAAAATTAGTTTTATAAACTCAAAATGCACATAATTTTTTTTTATTATATTTTCTATTATAATGTGGCTATGAGTCATTTTACAATAAATACAGGCAAATAATTATTTTGTAACTACATATGTATGTGATACAATTTATATATGTGTATTTGAAATAATTTTTGCGAAAATAACCGAAAGTGTATGTAGAAAATCCGAAATAAATTTGTACGAATCATTATACAATACTATTGTATATATATGTGAACGCAAAACAGAATGGAAATTGAGAGAATGTTTCGATTTGCTGTTTTTCGAGTGAATGATGAGTTTGTAAAGGAATCAAAATCATTTTGAGTGTATTAACATAAATGAGTTTTATATGTGCGGAATAAGTTGAAAATATATTAAAAGTGAGCGAATTATATTGTTTAAAAAAGAAAATCATTAAAATAAAAAGCATATTTTTCTTGTTCTTATACACATTTACAATAAAACAATGTATATGTGGTAGTGTTTTGTATTGAAAATATAAGTAGGAAACTAGGGCAATTTCAATTATGTTGATTTATATATATTTACACATGTATGTATATTTTTTATGTTTTTATTAAAAAAAAATTATTAACATACAAAAAAAAAATTATTTTTGAATAATTTAAGAAAAAAAA